GAGATATCTGCTGCTCGGGGCTGAGCTGGCCCCACATCCTGGCTGCTGTGAGTGCAAGGACTGGGCAGTGTGAGCACAAATATTTGGCTTCTCCATGTTGTGCAGACATACTGCCTCATGCAGAGGTTTGCTCAGTGGTCTCTCTGTGGTGTTACGCTGCAGGCATGGAAATATCCTTCACCTCTTTATCCCTTGTATTCTCCCTTGGCACTAGAGAGCGAATAACTTCTCTGCAGTACGGTGCAGTATTTTCAGACTCCCTTAAGAAAGGCACTTTATTGATGTACTGGTGCTTTACTTGCTGAAGAGCCCCACTAAAGGGATTTGGGGTGTAGCTATAAGCCTGATTTTAGCAGAACTGTAAGAAGACTACATGCAGCAGCACCAGCTGCTGTTGGTTGTATTTTTGTGTGTGTGGTGCAGTCTAGGAGTTGGTGCAGGTAACAAACTGGCTAAGAGATGTGCCTGGAAAAATGAAGCAGGCATCATTATGAGAGGAACTGATGGATGATAGTGTCTGCATGCAGTGTGAGGCAAAATGGAGCAACATCAGTTCAGAATTAGTAGGAGGTGAATAGTGAGAGTTGTACTAAAAGTCAGGGCACAGAAGCTGATGTCACCACCAGCCAGGCAGAGATGCAGGGAAGTTGTGAGGCCAGATGTGAACAACACTGTGAGTTGTACAAGAAATGGTCTTGCTTATATCTAGAAGTTAAGCCTCTTCAGATTAGGCAGGTGCTACAAAGGGTTTTCAGTAAACACCAGGAGAAGTCAGTGCTGTTGGCTGTGTTCCTGTGTGTCCACCGTGCCTGCTTTTCTCTGATAATACTGTGCCATGCTGCATGGACTCAGGTGTTTGCCTTGCTGGCTGATCACTGTGCAAGCTCTGTGTTTAAGTGGAGATGTGCTTAACTGGCACGTTCAACCAAGACCATATCAGTAAAAGTTAGTTCCACTACCTGTAATGCCTCTCTCACTGACTACTGAGACAACACCAACTTGTTGAATGTTTCTTTCTTGTGTCTGAAGCTTAACATTCTGGATACCCAAAAGGCTGCTGCCTCACACTGGACCAAGCTGTCATGTTTTACTGAGTACATTGGGAAGCAACTACAGAATGTAGGAGTTATCTTCTGGTGTAGAAAGACAGGAGTGAAAACTGCATGGGCATGATTCTAGAGATTATTGAGCCCAGTGAAGATACATCTATAGCCACGTGAGTGAGCAGCAGAACTCCATATAAAGAAAAATATATTTTATATACTTGCAGAAATTAAAGAATGTAAATTTTCTGCTTTTAGTCATAGCAGTCAACCAAAATAATGGGAAGACAAAGCCCAGTTGTGCTGTTGTGGACACAGAAGTTGCTCATATTCCTCCACCAGAGCCCACAGTGCTTCCCCTCATGCCAGGAGGGTGTCTTGCTCTCCACGGAAGGAACACCATCTTCTTCTCCCCAGCAGTATTATTTTTGTGGTTGGGGTTTAGCCTGGCAATTCTCTGAAGTTCACCTCAGTATTCAGGCTGGAGAAGTTTCTGCTGTCGATTACTTTGCACCCTCACAGACACATAGAGTTTTACAGAAAGATTATGTGTCCACTTGAAAAAAAACCCTTGGGTTTGCTTTTTCTGGTAACGCTTCCAAGGGTAACTGCACAAGCTTCCAGATAAAACAAGCAAGACTGCTCATCTCATTAAACAACCTCACGAGGAGGAACAGATTGGTCATCTCTTAAATAGCTTTCTTCCTTCTGGGACATTTAAAACTGGAGAGAAACCTTGGAGCTCCTCGTGTCTCTCTGGCCAGCAGAGGCAATCGGAGGCAGCATCCCACCTGAGCGCAGTAGTGCATGCAGTGTGCAAAGCTTCCTCAGCATTTTCAAAAGCTGAGCTGAAGAGGCAGCGACAGGACAACCAAGGTCACAAGTTTGGCAGTTCTTAGGGCATTATATACTGAGGTTGCTGTGCACTGTTGATGCTCTTAGCACTGAATCTCCTCCGCTTTCCTCCTCTCATTTTTAGTAAGAGATTGGAGGGGAATTTAAACACGTGAAGGAAAGTAAAATTGTTGAGTTGACAGCTATAAGTGGTTTGTACAGTGCTTTGTCCTAGGATGTGATAGATGAGCTCAAGTTTGTGGCTCAGACAGCCAGCTCTGTGATAGCTAAGGGTTTAACAGGCAGGGTACCTCAGGTAGCTGAAAGGCAGGGCAGCTCGGACAGCACAGCTAAATGGCAGCTCAGAAAGCAAACACTCCCAAGGTAGATGCAGCTGCTAACAGTAAAAGTGAACTTCTGCTGAGCAGTCAAATCCCAGCTCCCTCAAGCAAAATAAGCCACCCTGACAGAAGCATGGTTCTCCTGCACGAGTGCTGGCGCTGGCACTGCTTTGCCACCAAAGGGCAGCTCTCACTGCAGCCATAGCTGATGCTGCTGTGCCAGGGGGACCAGGAGCAGAGACCTGGCCCTAAGCCACCTTGACTCAGTTTTGAGGTTAACACTAGGCTGGGAGCAGCTTGCTGAATCCACTTTTTAAGTTCTCCTAAAATGAAAGCATGTGTGCAGCCTTGGTGTGAAATTACCACCTGTGTGGAAGGAGATCTCTCAGCACTCCCAGCTGTCACGTTTTGGTAAGTGATTTAAGTCTAAATGTAAAATTTCTGGGGCCCAACAAAGTGGTGAAATTTTAAAGTAAATGAAATAAAAGAGAATTGGCCTCAGAGTGCACAGCCTGTTGTTGTAACTAAGGGCCCTGCCCATAAGCCAGAACTGATATCAAGGAATGGGGCTAACGATGGATGGCTGTGCTTTTAAAACCAGAGGAGGGCAAAACTGGAAAGTGAATCACTCCCAGTTAACCAGTGTGGGTCACTTAAACTGTGCAAAGTGTGATAGTGATTCCTGTGAGAGGGTGCTAAGTATAATCACATTAAAAACTGTTTTAAACAATATTCTTATCATTCAGGAGTGAAGCTGAGGCAAAAACATGGAGAAGATACAGCACAGATTTAATAAGAGTGCTGGTAACATGTTTTGCAGTGGGTTTAATCTGCTCTCAGAGTTGCTGAGAGTGGACAGCACAGCCCTGCCCTGGTCCTTTACATGCTGCTTTGCACCAGCAGTCCTGGGAGCCTAATCCAGCTGAAAAAAATAACACTGTGAAAGAAAACAGTCATTTTTCTACTAGTTAAGATGAACAGAACGGGGAAGCTCCTGGTCACTTAAGGCGAATGTAGAGGAAGGGCTGGCAGCAAGGATGTGGCACTGTGGAACACAGCCTAGTGGGACGGGCTGATGGTTGGACTAGATGATCTTAGTGGTCTTTTCTGGCTTTATTGATCCTATGATTCTAGTCCATGATTCTAACATGATGAGGAGATAGAGTGATGATAGGAGCTGGAGGAGCTGACATGCAAACCCAGGTCCTGTGTGGTACAGCACTGTGAATATACCAAACACTCCAAACACTACCTGCAGAAGTCAGTGTAAGACAGTGTTTGATGTGCCTTCAAAATGCCTCCAGCTGCTCTTGAAATACTGGGCTTACCACCACTTACTGATCTGTAAGTGTTACGACTGCAAAGAGGGGAAAGATCTTTCCCTCACCTCCTTAGGCAGTGAAAAATGCAGAGAAACGCTCCACTTTGTCATCATGTCCCATGACCCTCACAAGAGGGACGTCTCACGTGTTTTCACAAAGGTATAGAAAATCAGCTTTTCCTTGCAAAGCAGCCTGGGGCAACAAGGACTAAGCTATTCTGGGAGATGAGAGATAAGCAAGCCAGAAAACCTTATCAGAGATTTGCCTCAACTTGCAGAGGTATTTTCTGTAACGCAAAGGTATTTTCTCCGACTGATGGCTGTTTGAAAGCTCTGTCCACTCAGTTTCTTTCAGATGAATCTCACTCATGCACTGTCCTAACAAAGCCCTTCTGAGCCAGATGCTGTAAGAAGAATCTTCACTTTCTGAATTAAAGGATTAATAAAAATGAAAAAGGAATTAACAGAAATGAACAGTTGACTCAGAAAGCAAAGACTGCTGAATGTGGGGCTCCAGTTGGGATTGAAAGCTGTTTCAGGAGTTTGTTGTGATGCAAGTCCAGCTCCAGTCTGCCCTGAGATGGGAAATGGACGGAGAGCAGGACAGGGAGCCTTGTGTTTGAAGCCAACAGTAAGATGCAGAGCAGTGCCAGCCTTGATGGATTAAATGAAGACTCAAGAAAATGAGCAAAAAACAATGGCAGAAATGGATGTCATGGGGTTGAAACTTGCAGTTGGCCACCAAAGCATTGAGATGGAAGAGCTAAAGGACAGCAGGGAAGGAGAGGGATTAGGATTGCACAGCTGCATTTACTCCTCTTCTTGCAGCCTGTTCAATCAGTGATGTGTGGAGCTCTGTGCCCTATCCACAGATGGGTAACCCGATACAGGAAGGTTTTCGGATCAGCTTCTCCCTGTGCACACTGTGCTTGAACAGCAAGTGGTAGACTCCATGTTTTGCTGAGAACCCAGAATGTTTGCTTTCCACACAGTTTTGAATGGAAAAAAAAAAAAAAAATCACTTTAAGAAGTTACGGTCAGACGCGAAGCAAACCAAGTCACTTCTTCCACATACAAAATCAAACCCAGCGTTCGCACAATCCAGCTCCGGGAGGAGGGCACGGGACAAGCAGAATAACGCGGTTCGGGGACAACCGAGCCCCAAGCGCAGCTGGCCGTGCCCAGCCCTTCTCCACAACCGATACGATCCCAAACGCCTATCTGTGCGTTTCTCACCGCGTCAGCGCAGCTCCACGGCCCAACGCTCGGCCGAGGGCCGGCCGCCCAGCCCGTCCCGAGGCGCGAAGGCGGCGGGAGGGACCCCGGCACCACCGCCCCCTCCTCCCCTCCCGCCTCCGCCGGCTGAGTGACCGCCGTCGGACCCAATCGGCTTCGGCTCTGCCCGGAGCTGCCGCCCGCCCCGTCGGGGAGGCCCGGCCCCGGGGCGGGGAATGAGGCGAGCGCCCGGCGCGGGGCGGCCCCGCTGGGTCCCGGCCGCCGTGTGCCAGGCGGGGTGCGGGCGGGGCGGGCCGGAGGCCGCCCGGAGCTGGCGGAGGTGGAGAAAGGGGCGCCCCGCGAGAGCCCGCCGGGGTTTGGACGTGGGTAAGGGGGCACCGGGCGGGCGGAGGGAGGGGGTCTGGCCCCGCGGGGGGGGGCCTCGCCGCGCACCCTTGCCCCGGGGAGGCGTGGGGCCCGCCTGGGGCGGAGGAACGCGGGTTCCTCCAGCCCGGCTGATCCGGGCCGAGCCCAGCGTGCCCCGCTGCATCCGGCGGGAAGGGGACGGCTGGACAGGCTGTGCGGTGAGCTGGTGGGAGTTACTCTGCGCCTGGCGGGGAGGCGTGCGGGGCTGCGTTCCTCTCTGCGAGGCGCTGCGGCTACAAGTGGTGGGGAACTTCGACCGGGAGTTGTGTCCCGAGCGGGCAAGTGCGTTTCGATGTAAGGCCTGGGGTTCCGGCATCCTGTAATGATTTCTTTTAGGTCTGTTTCTTTTAGGTTTGCCACTGGTACGGGCCGAAATAGCCGTGCTGGCTCACGCCCTGGCTGGGTGCAGCCGTGGTAGTGAAAAGGTGCTTTGTAGCTGTTTCCAGGGGGGAGAAGTGAGCTGTGCTGTTAGTGCTCCGCTTCGGTGCGGCACCACGCGTGTGCGCTCCTGGGCAGGGGCAGCGCGGCTGAAGCTGTGCTTGGGACGCGGGTTCGGCCCGCTCTGCGGCTGTCGGGGGCTGTGCTGTGTCAGCCCAGGCACGACAGCAGAACGTACAAGTGTGGTGTGGATTGAAATGGCAGCACGACTGAGCAGTGTGAGTGCACGTATTCCAAAAATGAAGCAGCAAAAATGGGTCACCCGAAGCGAGACAGTTCTTTGTGCTTCCGTGATGGAGTGTGTCTGACAGCAAGAGGTTCCGGTGTGCAAAACCCAGATTTATTGCTCCTATTAAAGATAGCGGCCATCGCTTCAGATTTACGTTTGTCAAAGACAAAAGTGGTTTATAATTGCTGTAAAAACCCGAGTATGGATCTCATGGAAGCAGCGTGCATGGGTTGGCAGAGGCATCCCACAAACCAGGTGAGCTGAGGTCTGTGTGAGGTCTCAACTCCAAACGCAGCTGGTGTTTCAGTCTCTTGGATTCCCTGTGTCAGTAGGAAGCAAGGAGCTGCAGCACTGCACAGTTTGGGTGGAAGCCATCCCGGCAGAGTTTTAGTGATAGGGTTTAGCACAATTTCTTAAAAAGCTGTATGATGTGGATCAGCTCCTAGCAGCAGGGGGATCGTTTGGCGAATGGCTGACAGTCACTGCGTGCCACATGGCTCGTGCATTAAGATCGCTGCTGCTGTGCCTGGAGTACAAACTTGCTGCTGTTCTCCTCCACGAAGGAGTTGCACGTGTTTGCCTGGCAGCAGAGCTGGGCCTCTAGGAGCTGTCTTTCTCTACGGCAGCACTGCTTATGTTTTGAGGCACGCTGCCTGTGAGCTAGGCAGTGGTAGGTGCTCTGCTGCCACGATAGCCTTCCAAAGTAAGACAGTGGTGAGGGCGCCAGACAGAACACACGGGGCCAGATTCAAGTGCTTTCTTGTCGAGTTCTGGGTTTAGCAGTTCATCTGAAGAGCATTTGAGCTTCTCTGTCCTGCGTGTACATATCTTGTGTGGTGGAAAAATTAGTGAGTAACGTTTCTGCTTCCATTCAGGGTGGAGTGCCTTGAGGTCGGGTGTCACACGAGGCAGAAGGCTCTGAGTGTTGTCGTCTTTTCCTGAATCCTCTTTCTGCTGTGGCCTGTGCTGCCTGCTGCAGTGTAAAACACATTGTGGGAAGTGATGTGGTCCTGATGAAAAGGCCTGCAGAGGTGTTGTGGGAGACCTTTTTTGCAGCAATTGGTGTTCCTGGAATTACAGACACTCTGGGAGATGGTCTTGTTCTGCTGTGATACTACTGTCCTGGTCCCATCAGGACCTCTGCTTTCTGCTTTCCAGATAGGTCAGGATGGTGTGAAGACATCTGTGTGCTGACGTGCAGACCCAGCATTCTGCAGAAGGCTTTGTGTCTTATATTTGCACAAGTGGGGCTTCTGTGGTGTTTTCATCTTTTACCACATCAAGAAATCAAGGTGGTTTCAGTGAGCAGAAAGTTCTCTCCCTGAAGTAAGAGGACAGAAAGCTTAGTCGCTTTCTTAACAGTGAGTGATGGCATCAAAATGTACCTTTGGCTTACTGGGGGCTAGCAAGATAGCACTGCTCAGAACCTGCCTGAGTTCTGCAAACCCAACTGATTTTTGTTGTGCTTCATGTTAGGTCTCTGTAAAGGTGAGGGAGCTCCAGGAGGTGCCTGGGTCATGGCTCCGGTGTGATGGTCAAAACATTCCCTTGACTCCTATGGTGGGGGCTGGAGGGGAGGGGGGGGGGGGGGGGGAGGAGAGGGGTGTCTGCTAGTTCTTCCTAGAAATAGTTCTTACTAGAGAAAGAAATAGGCCAAATATTTGCCAGGATTTAGGGAGAGAATGGAGTATCCTGGAAATTCCTCGTGGAACAATTGAGGAAAGCTCCCATTCCACTGCTGAATCTATGGGCGTTTTGGCAAGATCCAAGGTGCCTTGGCTCAGAAATGGCCGTGGTGGGTATACCCAAGGTGGCTTCTTCCCTTTAGTGTCTGTACCTTTGTTATTCTCTGCCCTCAAAGCAAAACTCCAGTGTTGTTACCTCTTTAAAGCTGTGTGGACATGTTCTGGCCCATTTTCATATGGCCTCACTACATCCTGGCCTTGAAAAATGCAGTAGTGTTTTTGGAAGGGTCAGGCAGGTTTTGTTGTGTTCACTCCTCTTGTATAGCATCTGCATACAACCGCATGTTAAGAATAAATAAAAGCACTTAGTACCTTAATAATAAAACCGCTTAATGCCTTTCTGCACTCAGGCTGAGCAGTGCCCCTGACTCCCCCCCCCAACTGTAATTGTGAGATCCCATTAGTCATCTCATTAGCAACTGTACTCTTGGGTGCAGTCCAAGAGAGGTAAACTACATTGCCTCGCCTTGTGTTTACTGCTGGTGTCTGTACCCAGGCGGTCACTTAACGTTTATTGAACGTGTACTATAAATTCACACCCTGTCCTGCCCTGTGGTCACTTTGTTTGCGTGCCCAGAGCTGAGCTGGTGTTCTGCAGTGTCTCCTTAGCAGAAATACCGTGTCTTTTTCTCCTTCACCAGTCTTTGCATTCACACCGACTGTTCTGGTTTCAGTAGGATAAGGACATCAGCCTGCCCTGTGTCATGGTTGGAAAACGAAGATTGTTGTTGGAAGGTTCACCGCTGCCATTTAATCACTGCCTCAGGAATTGGTGGGTGTCACTATTCAGGTAGCTCTTTGGAGGTGGCTGATTTATAAACAGCACTCATTGCAGCCTGTGCTAGGAAAGGCTGCGTGTTCCTTCTGAGAGATCACATCTGCCCAGTTTATGAGAAGTCAGCATCTTGTCCAGAATTCAAGCCTGGTCTTTTTGGGTAACAGTGTTTCTCTTGCCACAGGGTTGTCTTCCACAGCTGTTGCATCTTTAATTTCATTCAGCTGTTGGTTATGTTAAGTCCTAACGCCTATCTCAGTGGGTTTTTCCTTGCTCTGAAGACTCCAGCAAGGGTGTTCAGCGATGAACATGCTGCGAGGTGCAGGGAAGGATGCATCCGTTCTCTCTTTTTCACACATTGATGTATGGTTTGGTCCATCTTGGCCTTTCATTTTTCTGGCACTGTCATTTTTCTGACACTGCTGCCTAGATTGTACTTCACTTCAATGTAAAGGTTGGAAGTTTCTCTTAGTAATTCAGTCATCGCACTGGGTTTGCTGTTGCTTCCCCACAGTTTGTGTTGCCCTTTCTGTGGGCATGTATGATTTCCTGATATCTTTAGCTTCCAGAGTGTTTTGTTCCTCTCTGTCTTCTGTTATACTTGAAGAAAATGTGGTGTGTTAAATCTTTGTGCTTTTTCCCACTGCTCTGCTTCTATTTCTGTAAGAAGACCAAGATAAACCAATTAAGAAGAAGAGATGATTTCTTCCCGCAGTGGAAACACACTTAGGTACAGAACTTGACATTGGCTGTAGCTATAATCTTCTCCCTGTGCTTCATCTGCCATCTTCATCTGCTGCAGAGGAGGCAGGAAGAGAAGTGGAGGGGCTCTGGCTGTGTGATAGAGCGTTGCAACCTTTGAATGAATAGTGTATCCCACTGAATGCTATTTGTGAGCAAAGGATTCTGAGATCAAGCATGCTGACCCTGAAGTTGGTGTAAACTGACATCTAAAGTAAGGACTTTTTCTTTGATGGTAGTAGAGAGCTCACGCCAGAGAATCGAGCCAACTATTGCAGCATCTGAACTCTAAACTGGAGAATCTTTGCGTTGTCAAAGGCAGCCATCTAAGTACATCTCAGGATGATTTAAAACGTGCTGATTTATGGCAGTGGTTATCAGATTTTCAGAGCTTTCTCATCGCTCCAAATGTGGCAGAATTTGGGAGAGTAGCTTTATTTTCTTGCTTTGTAACAGCTACAGCAATGTAAGAGGAAGTCATGATAACGATACAGACTTGCATGCCTTTTCTCAAGGTGATGAATTCTGAAGCGAAACTCTAGGGAGAAAGTATAGCATGCATTTTAAATATGAAGGTAGAATACAGCCCCAAATAGTTCCTAGGACAAATGGTATTGAAGGGAGATGCAACATATGTAAAGTTCAGTTGGTAACAGAAAAATAGCTTTAATGTGGTGAAAAAGAGCAAACTGCCAAACATCCCCCCCCCCCTCCACGCACACCCCCATTCCTTTCACTGTCAAATTGTTTCTCTGCATGAAGGACAGAATGAGGAGCACATGTGCACTTACTGAATAACAGAGGGATCTGTTTTTTAGTATGAGGAAGGGCGATGCCTTTTATCCCATGACAGCTGTGCATGTGGCTGTCCATGTGCTCCATGTGGTAGGCATGCTCTGTGAACCCAGTTCTCTCTTGGTTACTTGATTGGACATTTGTGACAAGGCTGAGGGGCTATCCAGCACACTGAGAATATTAAGACATTTCATAGTAAGTTGTGAAATGCAGAAAGAAGGTTCTTAAAAAATTATTA